GGGGAGGAGGAGGAGGAGGGAGGGATGGAGGTACAGCAACCACGAAAGGGCAGGATTAGATCGGTGGACAAGGGGAACAGACAAGAGGGGGAGGGAGAGAGAGAAAAAAAGGGAAAATGAGGGTCAAAGGAGGAACATGTTATGTGTTAAAGAAGAGAAATAACAAAAGGGTTTGTCATGATTCGATGGTGAAAACATTACTGAGGCTCTAAAGTTCTTTCCAAAAAAAAAAAGAAAAAAAAAAAAAGAGGTCAGGGGGTTTGCTAGTTCATTTTACATATGAAAAAAGAAATCTAAGGAATGCAGGTAATTGCAAAAAGATGGAAAAAACAAAACTTAAAAGAAAACTTAAAATAACTATGAAGTTTACTCCCCAGCACTGATACGGTGAATTTCGCTTTTCAAAATCACGGTATTTTTGAAAGGGGGACGTGGGGGGTTTTGGTAATTTTTTCAATTTGTCAATTTCGTGGCATAAATAGTACCCTTCGTTATTTTGCTAGGATGAGAGGAGACTGAGCAATGATTTGCTGCTTCCATCTAAGGCATAATGTTTTGGTTTGTTTGTTTTTTGTTTTTTTTTTCCAGAAAGTTAGGTTCTCATTTCATTCATTGTGAGGTCAATGTGCATTTTTCATATAAAACAAACCTGATTAGCCAGTGTGTTCACTTCCATTTGTACTTTACCCAGACTTTTTTTTTTTTAAATCACAACAAAATATTTATGCAATCTAATTATAAGGAAATTAGTAAAAAGGAAGACTGAAAAACCCCGGCTTCCACAGCAGCAGTATCCTTTCTGAGCTTGTGGCAGTGGTTACAGAGAACATAAAAGAGCTTACCAGCTGACAGACAAGGTACTACATGGATACAACATACACATCGCCAGACGGACCCTGCCAGCACGAGGAACTTCAGATTGACCCGACCTCCGAGCCCAAGGCAGCGACGGGCTCCTTGGAGGATGTAGGTATCAAACCACCTTCACTTTAGTCTAACTCCACCCATCGGCAGGCAAGATGAGTTTGGCCCATGAATTAGGCTTTTCTGTACAGTTTTACACATGAAAATAAAGTAATTCCAAGGACGCTTTTTTTTTTTTTCAGATGACAAAATGTTTACCTAGATAAATCCTCCCTTTGCCGTGTATTTGTTGCAGCTTGTGCACTGGGTTTTGGGTCGGCGAACAACCTAAATACTAATTTCAGGATGCATTCTGCATGTGACCAGCTGGGAGGTACGGCAGCCTAGCATATAAATAGGACTATGGGTTAGAAAATCTTTGATCGATACGGTTATACATGTATTAATTCCAAGTTCGGGGCTTTTTTTTCAGTAATTACTAGCTTGTGAGGCTCCTGGGCTTTCTCCTGAGGTGAGCCGAGGAGCTGCAGCAGCTTCTCCCTCCCAGAGCGGAACGCCCCGGGCAACCGGCCGGCTGTGCAGAGGACCTGTGTGGCAGAGGACCTGCTGCTTTCTTATCAAGTCCCACCAGGCCTGGGGGAAGCTTCCCAGCGCAGGGTTTGCTGGTCCCTGCTGGCGCTAGGGGCTGGGCGTGCAGGGTTAGAGAGCAGCTGTAGCCAGGCTCCTTGCCCAGGACAAGGCAGGGGAGCACGGTTGCCCTACTCGGGGCTTGGGAAAGCCTCGCTTTTCCTCACCTTAGACTTACAAAACTGCAGTTTTGAGAATAACAGCCCCTGGTCTGTTCATGGCCAGAGAAAGGCAGCGACCAGAAGGCCTGCCCACTTTGCACAAGGGCAAGGACACAAGCGATGAACCAGCACTATACAGGGGATGGGGATGTTGTACTAAAGCTTCCCAAAACACTGCTGCTGAAGGTGAGTCTAAAGGATACCTGAAGCGGGTGTGAGCCAGGGATAGGAGAGTGGAGGAGAAGAGGGAAAGGCTGGAGCGCCAAGCTCCTCTCCTCCCCCCAAAGAAAGAGGGCTCTTGGAGTATTAACTCCTCGTCGGCTTTTGCTGGGAAGTTAGAAGGTGCACGTCTTCTCTGCGGGGCTGGGAGGGGAGGAGGGCAAATGCATGAAATGCAGGCCCGTTTGTAGTAGGTAAGGCTTTGTTTTTTCTACCTGTGGTGTTTATCTGTCCCCATGGATGAGCATCTCAGAATTTTTCTAACCTTTGCAGCAGAGTTGCGCTTTGCAGAGAGAAGAGCATCCTTGTGCTGTTAGCTGTGCTACTTGCAATCTACTCACACAGCAGGATTTACATCAAGAATACTTGTTTCTATCCACTGCAATGGTGGATCCAACTCCAGTGTACATCCTCGACTTGGGGTGTAGGGGTTACATGGTGATACCTTAATAGTTTTTTTTTAAAAACTCAGTTTATACAGTTGAATTTTTTTATATTTCTAACTCAGTTTTATTCTGGGAGGGAGGCATATAGAAAGATAATGCAGGACTCAGTGTTTCAGTGACTCCAAATTTGCCTACCTTGCATTTAACAAAAACCAAAACCTCCTACTGATGTGGATGATATTTGAGCCTGAGCTTTTTCCTGCACCAGCAGGGAGAATAGAGTCCACAGGCTGAATGCTGGTGTTGGTAGCAGCCACTCAAACTCCCCGTCTCGGGTGTACTCGCACAGGTGCAATTAAAGCTCTAATTTGCCCTGCTTCACATTTATTACTGGTAGTAACGTGTAAGGTGGAAGTACGTCAGGTTAGCTATCAGCTGTCCTGTGACAGCAGCTGTTTCCCAAACCAATTGTAGATGCAACAAGATTGAATGTGAAAGGGGATGAGGCAGCCCTCATGCAGAATTTCACGGTGCCAATTTTACACTGTCCCTTTGAAGAACTACACTTTATGAATATATACACCGAAGGCCACATCCTGCATTACCCAAAACTGGTGAAAGGAATAAAGCTCGAGTGTGGCTTTGGCAGTCCTGTTAGCTCTGTGAATGAACCTGTCATCAAAATGGCAGTAAAAAATATCTTCAGGGAACTGCTCTTCAACACGGAGAAAGTGCTGCTGGCTACAATTCATTTATAAGCCAAAGTCAAACATTACACAGGAAACCTAAACTGCGGTTCATTCTTAATAAAAGCTAGAAGATGGAATTGGATAATGAAAATCCAGTTACTACAATGGAGACCAGTTAAGAGACAGAAGATTTTACAGGAACAAAAGACACTTCTACTGCAAACAAGCTAGGACACGTTCTACTCGTACAGAGGTCAGCGCTCGGGTGATCAATACAGAATCAAAACAATACTTTAGAAAGATTTAAATCTCTGTCTTGATATTGTATCAATGTATTTATGTATCTATAATTTAGAGTATATTATGTACATATTCAACACCAGATTGCAATAAAAGTCTTAAACCAACTTGATAAATTATTCTATAGATGGCAACTTTGGTTGGAGGATAGTTTAAAGATACACACAGATTGTTTCAGGAATACAGTGGATAGCTTTTTTTTCCTTACATCCTATGCTGCTGTGAGACACTGATTTTTGCAGAAATACTGGCCCTGGAAACCAAATCCACGAGAATGACAGATCTTGTGGGGGAGAGAAAAAGAAAGTCCACCTTATCCTGAATGCTTATATGGCTTTTATTTATTATAATTATTATTTTGACATACCAGACTATACCTTGGGCAGCCTAGGCACTGTACTCAGCTCTTCCCCAACACTGTTTATTTCATGCCAACATCTTTAAAAGAGACGGCAGTACTTGTGACAGGTTTAGAACTGCCGAACACTGAAATTGGCTCCCAGCGTGCACAGGCAGCAGCAGCCTAGATCTGCCTCTCGAAAACCTGCCCAAGCACCTAAACCCCAGCTGGAGGAGACCTCCCTCTTGCCTGAGAGTTTCTCAGTTCTGCCTCCAGTACGACTGCAAACTAGCACTGCTGCTGCGGTGGCACCTAACTGGACAAGAATTTCTCTTGTGAAAGGAGAAATCTGGAACACTGTCACTTTTTAAAATGAAAAAGCCACCTTATTGTCCTATGTTACCTTAGAGCTTAATTTATTATACATTACTTTAAGGGTCTTCATTTACAAATGAAGTCACTTCATCTAAATACAGTTTCAACACATGGTACATAATAATATATGATGGTTTATTGTAGATGATGGTAACAAATGACTTCTATCTAGAAATTCAACAGGAAGAAAATATTTTGTTTCTGGTTTCACAGGGTATAGATAGAGTATCCATGGTATATGACTGCTGAGAAGTTTTCTTCTTTGCAAAAGTATGTTAAAAGACCTCATATATATCCCATTCCATCGAAAGAATCATTAAGCAGTAATATACAGAAGTGTGAGAGTTCCCAGGCTTTTCTAAAGTGAGTCAAACAGAGGTTTGTTCACTAGAGTTTCTGGTGAGCAGCTCACTGCAACTCCATTAATAAGTGCATTATTTTATTTGCATGCTTTAGCTGTCTTGAAGATCTTAAATTGTTATCTTCTGAGTTCCAGATGCATGCCATATGGTGTTTGTGCAACTAAAAATGAAGGGGTCTATTCTCGTCTCGATGTGTGGGGAATCCCTGAACACCAAGAGAAGAACATATCCTTAAGGGTTAAAGGAGGGAACACATTTTTATTTGATTACAGGGCTTATGGAATTGACTTATATTTGCTACAAAGAATATAAATCAAAAGATCTGTAGGTTGTTTTAGGATTCTGGAAACGGCTTATCTTAGGCTTCACAACGCCACCCCTCAATATAACTTTTCCTAGCAAACTACTTTCAAACTGAATTTTAAAAAGTAATACTTTTGTTTGCTGTAACACAGAGCTGCACAAACATCCTTTTCCTCCATTAAGACATTTACAGTGGCTTGCAGTGGTGCACTACAGAACTGGGCTGGAGAGGAGGTTGGACCATACAAGACTGTAGGCCTGCTATGACTACAGCCCCTCCGCATATAAATCACATACTTTCTACTACCTTAACAGCAAACAGTTAAACACAAAGCTTGATTCGTATCACCGTATTTTTTTTTTTGGGGGGGGAAGAAAAGGAAAAAAAAAAAAAACCTCAATAAAATACATAGATACTCCCCCTCCCCACAATATATTGCCTCGGTCCACCGTTTACGAGTAGATCTATCAGACAGCACTATATCCATTGCACTATCTTCTCAGGATAATTGTAAATAAAGGTGGTATCAATTTTAATACTCTTCTAAATAATCATATCAAAACTGATAGAGACTTAAGCCATCTCAATGGCTGAGCTAAACAGGCAGTCCTTTCATTAATTCTGGCACTGAGAAGTGGAGAAGCAGATAGCCTCACCCCATCTCATTAGGGAACGCTTTTTACAAATTTGTGATGCTGTCTCTGAAAAAAAAATAAAGCCCGTGCCCCTTTAGCAACCAAATGTGAATTTAATATCAATTCTGCATGACAATTTCCAGTTAGTAAATTAAATCTGTTTTGCAATCTGTTTCACTATATTTGCCATTTAGGAGAGTAAAATGGGTCTGTGAAAAGCATTTTCTTCTAAAGAATTTATGATTGTCATTTAATTTATCCACCTATATTTTAGGTGGTTGTCAATGTGAGTATTCAAATTTTTCCGCTTTTGTCATTCAACAGGTACCTGGAATTGCACCAGATTAAGCTGCTTTCCATATAAACCAACAGCAAACACAGGTTCTAGTGATACAGGCTTTACAAATCATTAGGAATTGAATAATACTATGCAAAATGGACACTGCAAAGCAACTTTCTGAATCTATCCAGGACAGACATTTGCTGGAGAGCAGGCAGAGCAATCTCGCAGAAGCATTATCACTTACAAAGCAAACTTACCTTGCATTAATGAGGTACTGTGCTAAGCTGATGTTTGCAGGGGATCCTGTGATTGTAACTTGTCGTTCTGCGGAGCCTTCTGTGGCATTAGCAATCTTGATCTGCGCTCCTGACATCTGCCTGATTTCATTTATCTTACTGCCTTGTCTGCCAATAATGCAGCCTATTAACTGGAGCGGACAAAGACTGAGATTAGTGCCACAGACACAAGCAAAAACCACTTAACTGCAATTTGTAGTATTGATAAAAACATGGTTATGAAAGCCTCAATATCAAAACAAAAGATTTTTGCTGTGCTGTTTGGAAGGAATAACTAGCGCGGTCTATCGGCTTTATGGTCATATGTCTCTAAATCAAGTTTCGCTGCTACATGGGTGTCAACTTAATATCAGATTATTAAGCTGTCTTCAGTGGCAGAAAATGACAGTGTGCCGTGGTGCTGACGAATACAGAACACAGCCCAGCCTGACTTGCCAGTGGCAGCAGCAAGCCAAGAACAGCAGCTGGAAGTCAGGCTGACCACCCAAAACTGCCACTGTGAGGCTCTGCACCGTTCCAGTGTGCTGCTAGTCCTACACCTCCCTGGGCACACGTGGTCCTCACTTGGCCACGTACTGTGCCATTAAAGTCAGTGGGATTTACAGCTCAGTAACTGCAGGCAGAAACAGGTGTAGGAAGAGACTGAACTTTGTCTGCATTCCTTTACAGAAACTTACCAAAACTCATATTTCATGACTAAAACTGAGCCTGAGTTGTGTGTGTGTGTGTCCCTAGATCCCCTCAATTTTTTTTGGTAAAATTGCGTGGGTGTTCTCTTCAATTAACAGTGTTTTAAAGGTTGTTTAAATGCTCTTGGTGGAGTCACAAGCTCTTGGAAGCTGTGTGCAAGACCTCAAGAAAGTGTTCAGCAGCACACGTAACCGCTGCAACTGCAGCTGGGGTAAGGGAGTGTGATAGCTGTGCCGGGGTGTTGCTCCTCTGGCACAGGGAGCCCCCAAGAGCAAGTGGGCACCAAGCAGGCAGCTGAGGCTGAGAAGTTTTGGCTTCTGTAAGGGTGGTGGTGTGTGTGTGGGGGTGTCTTTTGTTCTGTGTTAGGGAAGGATGGGTGCTGAGAAGCTCAGCAATGGCCAGAATGGGTAGAAAATGGAAACTTCACTTTACAGGGCTGTTGACACTGGGATGATGTTGCCAGTTTGGCAGAAGGACGTGCCAGGATGCAGACACTGCCTTCCCCTCCTACCCTTCCTGCTGCTTCAGGCCCTGACGTGTTATCCTTTCTGGTACTTGGAGTATCTTGCCAGAAACCGATTCACATTGTCCAGACATTTTATCAAAAGCAGAAATCCCCTGCAACGTAATCCTCAGGGACAAGCAGAAAGCTGAAGCAGGTACCCGGGTAGCTGAAACATTGACCAAGCACAAGAGGAGCACCCATGAGGGGAGAAAAGAGTGTTCCGGGAAACGCACACAGGATTTCCCATCCTCTTCAAAGTGGAGGGCCTCGCTGAGCTCCCTGTCCTTATCTGAGGACCTGTCTTAGTGTGTGACTGCACGTGCCAGTGCAAAGGACCTATGTGAGCTTCACTGGGAAGCCTCTAGCCTGTCTCTGTGCGCACACAAATGTGCTTGCATACACTAGATGTTAGCAGCACAGGGATCCCTAAGCATCCACTTCCTACACCTCAGTCTCACTGGGCTCCACGGTCCGCAGGTAGTGAAGGTGAAGCAGGAGAGAAGAGCACCCAGAGCACAGGTGGTAGCACCAGAGCCAGCCAGTGGTGGGTTTTGGGTTTTATCAGAGTATGCCATCAGTGTGAGGAAAGCAAAGGCAGTCCTACCAGACCATCATTGTACAGCAAAGCTGGCAGCACTAGATCCGCTCTTATCTGTTACAACCTGGTGACGGACTTCCATAATTTTGTTCCTGTGAATCATTTGCATGCCATACTGTAGCTGTAATTTACCCAAATCTGGTCAGAAGCGTTCACTACTGCAGAAGCAGGATGGAGCACAAGGCGGGGAAAAAAACCTTGGGTCATCTTTACTTGACTGCTAGCTAGAGTTTTTCCCCCAGATATCGGAGTGGCTTGAAATGGCCAACAGGAGTGGAGGCTGTCACTATTTCCTTCTGCCACAACAAGCATCTAATTGTTTTTGCGATGATGATCTTGAAGTGACTGGTCAAGAAACCATCTGTTGTTACTGATGAGCTTATAAAGTAGTGACCGGGATTTAGGTTCTGTGAAGCAGCTGTTATGGTGCCTGTCACGTCTTCAGATTCCTCTGATACTTCTCACCCGATGTGCAGATCTGAATATGCTTCTGGTTGCTTTAATAATTATGTCCTAAGTGTCAACAGGAAAATGTAAACTGTGCATATTCCCTCAGTCTGCCCAAAGCAGAAGGGTGGAAATCTGATAAAATTACTTGGTGTAAAAAAACATGCAAAAATATATAAAAATGTATTATTTAGAAGAATTTCAAGCAGTCCAGTTCACAGGCATGGTTGTCATTGTGGCATTCGAAGTAGAGGAACTGCGTGGGACTGCTGGTTCTTCAGGCACGTTGTGAGACATAGTCTTACATGCCTGGTTCACCAGCTCTGAGAAGGCACTTGCCGGGTCACTCAGGAGGCTGCCACTTGTATGTGTTGGGGGTCCTCCAACGAGGCTTGGGACCCAGGTGTGTCAGTAGAAAGAATTTGCAGTCTCCTAGCTGACTTTGAATTAAGTAGCGAGGCTTCAGTCCAGACCGGTCAAAGACATTGGTGATGCAAGTATCTGGAAGAGAGGTTCGGTAACCATCGGTCTGAAGCTCTCCAAAGTCATCCTTTGTTGCTGTGATAACAGGTTACTTGAACGTGCTCTGCAAGCCGTGACACAACCTGCAGCTCAGACAGAATACACTTCTCCATTTGCCATGCAGGGAGAATAGTGCTGGGGTGCTTGGGCTCTCTCTGGGGTGCCTTTCCTATTACATATTACTTACTTACACTGAAATTTGTGCACTATCATCTGAATATTCAAGAGCTGATGGGTTCTGGAAGAAGTTCAAGGGACTGGTTTTCATCTACAAACCTTTGATCAATCAGGCCATGGACATTTGGTTTTACATAAAAACACCTGCCCTGCCTTGCTTCGAGATGAAGCCATGTCAAATTGCATCCAAACACGTATCTCTTTTCAAGAGTGACCTTTCCAATGCTGTCAGCTGCCCCCCTGTCGTTCCGTAGCTGGCCATTTCACATGACTTGGCAGGCTCTGTGTAATTCAGTCCCACAAAAGTCCCTCACCACAAAAGCAAGCTTCCCCAGACTTTGAAATTTGCTACCTTGCATGCAATGCTGCTTGTTTCACAGACATGGGTTTGCTGCTTTTCCAAGCTCAGTAGACGGAGTTAGGGAACGTGGAGGACAGTAAACATATAGCTGTTTTCAAGGACTTTAGGTGCTGCATTACTTTTGATGCTCACCTGCTTGCTCAACATACAGAGCGCGTTACTCTCATTTACGGAATAAATCAAGATGCAATTCTCCAGAAAATAAGTGCTAAAGCTGGCCTATGTGAGAGAGGAGCCAAACCTACTGTAGCCTATACCAAACCTACTATGCACTATAGTATAATACATATACTATAAATATATATATGTATAATATATCTAATATACACATATTTACATACACACACACATAATATGTGTATGTGTATGAATATATATTTTAACTCTCTCAAGACTTGAGCGGAACAGCTCACATCAGATGTGCACCTAGCCCAGCAGCCTGTCTCTGACTGTGGCAGTAGCACACGCTTACAGAAAAAAGGATAAAAACAGTGTGAGGTATAAAACAAAGTTTCTGCTGGTATCCCAAATTCCCACCTAAGGCTTACAGACTACCTGAGTAGCAGCTGGTATCTCTGCCTTTATGCTCAATAGTTGAGGTGCTGGAGCGTGTCCAGAGAAGGGCAACGAGGCTGGTGAGGGGTCTGGAGAACAAGTCTTATGAGGAGCGGCTGAGGGAACTGGGGTTGTTTAGCCTGGAGAAAAGGAGGCTGAGGGGAGACCTCATCGCTCTCTACAACTCCCTGAAAGGAGGTTGTAGCGAGGTGGGTGTTGGTCTCTTCTCCCAAGTAACAAGCGATAGGACGAGAGGAAATGGCCTCAAGTTGCGGCAGGGGAGGTTTAGATTGGATGTAAGGAAAAATTTCTTTACTGAAAGAGTGGTTAAACATTGGAACAGGCTGCCCAGGGAAGTGGTGGAGTCCCCATCCCTGGAGGTATTTAAAAGACGTGTAGATGAGGCGCTTAGGGACATGGTTTAGTGGGCATGGTGGTGTTGGGTTGATGGTTAGACTCGATGATCTTAGAGGTCTTTTCCAACCTCAATGATTCTATGATTCTATGATTCTATTTGTCTGACAATTTCTTTTTGAACCCGTTTCTCCTTCTGCTGCCCGGGAAGAGCCATAGCAGTGACCTGCAGAGCTTGCTCGTGTGTTGTGTGTATCACCATTTGTCCGTACACCTCAAAACCAGCTGGCAGCCCCTCCTTGGACTGTGAGCACCAGGGAAAAACCTGTTCCTTTTTCACTTTCTCTGCACCGCTTCCAATCTGTCTTACCCTACGTCAGTGTACCTCATTCCTCCTCATGCCAAAAAAACCCCCAACAAACCAACCCTAAAACATAGATTCTGCTTTTTGCCTTTTTCTAGTTTTACTCTGTCCTTCAGCAAAGTTCTGTTGGTACCAATGTAAACAGGACTGAATCAGGAGTCTGGACTCTTAAAGGGTGGGACTGGAAGGTCTACTGTGATTCTTTCCACCCCAAACTCCTGATGCTGATAGTTTCTCTCAATACACTATGCCATCTCTGGTTCAGGTCCATCTCTTGCATTTTTTTTTTTCTTCCCCATAAGGCTAAATATAAATGCTAAATATATATTTATTTCCCATAATGCTAAAGTCATTGTCAGAGCTTAATAATAACAGCTTCCTGCTGGGTGTTTCCTACAGGTTTGCTCCTCTACGTCCATCACACTGCATTACTTCTGTGCAGCACTGGGAACAATCAGACTTTTAGGTTTTGGTTTATTATCCAAGTCCAATGCTGCGGAGTACTGCTTCTCACAGGAAGTGGCACGGAGCTCACTTTCTTTTAAGTACCGGTAAAAAAATCAGATTCCTTTCTTATAATGAATGTAGTGCTGGTAAAAAGGGCCAAGGAAGTAGCCTCTGCAACTTGGTATCTGCTGTCCGGAACAGAGGGGTTGATCATACCTGTCCATGGGTGCACGTGGTTCCCCTTGGTTCCCCACCACCAACCCAGAGCAAATCCATTGGCTTTGGCAAAGCCTCTGCATTAGTTGAGCAAGCAGGTGCTCATCATGAAGGAGACTCTTCAACTGTTTTTCGTAAAGATACAGGCTTTCTTAGTTCCAGGTTTGGGTTGGTTTGGGGTTTTTTTTAGTTAGAAATGCTGGGGCAGAGTCCTCTATAGGGAGAAATAATCTCTTGAGGTATGATTACAGTTCTTTACAGACTTACTGCAGGGCCTGGAAAGAGATGCTTAAATACTCTGTGCCTCTTAAGAAATAATAATAATAATAATAATAATAATAATAATAATAATAATAATAATAATAATAATAATAATAATAATAATAACAACAACAACTTTATTTCCCTTGCCAGGATAATGCAAAATCTGGACTATAATAATTTCACAGGCTTTGCAAGAAGTCATATAGAAAACTGAGAAAACATGTTCAGAAATGAGCCTTCTTACTACTTGTTGTGTAACCCAAATGACTCTGCAGATTTGTGTGCATTTCAACTTATTGAGGGCCCATCACCATGTCCCATCCTGTTCCCTAAAGTGAGCAGTAGGTGGTTCTGGGGGGGAATTACTTTTAATGCTAACTAGTGCCTTGTCCCACAGTCTCACTTGCTTCTGATGGATATTAAGTCTGCAAAATCTTTCTACTGATTCTTGATCTCATCTGGACAGGTCTACTTGAGGAATCAAATGGCATTTTCTTAGATTAAGGGGAGACAAAAATCAGGCCATGTGCAAACATAAAAAATGATAAAAATGACTTTTTTTTTGATAACACATCCCCTTAAACATTGCTAATTGATAGAATCTGGTTAACTCTGTATTTTTGCTCCGGGCATTATTTCCCTATTACATGGGAGGCTCTCAGCAGTAAGGTAGATTTATTGAGGTTGAATCCACAGATCCCTTGCCTTCAGCAGAAGCGCTTTGACTTACTTACACTACTGCAGGACCTTTCCCAGCACATCTTGTGTGGATTAGTAAGTCTTTGCCTAACCATTGCTTTTAAACCCTTTCATACAACTGGAAAGTTTCTGAGCCACGGATGGACTTAGCCAGCAGCTTAGTTTTATAAGAACATGGCACTTGTTCTCAGGACTTTTCTGGAAGAGAGCTGAAGGGAGGGCGAGGTGCAATTTTCCTGTAACGTGTAGGTGGTGGGTGGCCTTGCTGGAAGTCACAGCTAGGGTCGGACACTGCCCTTATGTTCTCCTTAAAGGCTTGCACTGATTCTCCCCCCTGGCAGGTGATGGATTGGCGATCTGCAAAGATGAGAGCTCAGTCTCCCCAGTGACCGCTGGTGGAAGAGGCAGCGCCACGCAGACCTACTTGGAGCATCACGCGGAGCTGGTGCTGGATTTCACCGCGGGCTGCTCCGAGAGCATTTTGCACATGGGGGTCCCCCTCCGTTGTTTGCAGGGAAGTACTTCTGGCTCCATGGAGAAAGAAAGGTAGTTCTTCAGTATGCCATTTCAAACTTGGATGGATTGACATTTCTGTTTCTATGGAGTATTGATCAGATTTATAGCTTTCTTAAAATGTTCTTGGTGCTTTCTGAGGGGGAAGTTGTTTTCCTGTTACTTGCCTCTGCCTGTCTCTCCCACAAATATGCAAAATATGCATAATTTTTAATGAGACAGATTTTTTTTTATTATTGGTTTGTTCATTTACTCTCAATGGGCATTTTGGGGGATTGGATCATGAAATCTTAAGACATCTGTTATCTGTGCCCAATGAGCTACCCAGGGATACCATCCCTTCTGTTCCCTTAAGGACCTGCCACTGTTAACGCCACTTTATTCTGGGATTTATGTGAAACACACTTACATTGTGTAACTTAGGCAGCAGTGGAAGTCCAGACAAGATCCTAGCAAGGAAAGAAAGGCAACCAAACGCCCCCATTAGAGGTTTTGATGAGGAAAAGGAGATACTAGATAAGGATCAAAGTGACTTCTGAGAGGGACCTAGAGAAATGTCCTCTCTGGTTTCTTTTTGGAGATACCCAGAAGTTATGAGGAAACCTAGAAAGGCAAATCTTCTGAATTCATTATTTGGAGAGTAAGCCTCGGCTTTTAGCATGTGGAAAATAACTTTCTGTAAAATGCATTTCTTTGTTCTCCGCTATCTCTTTGTTCTTGAGCAACAGGTTAGCTGCAATTATCAGCATACTGTATGAAGAAAGCAGCATGATGTTGTTACAGGAATTATTATTAACAGAAAAAAAACCTTCTGTCACTGCCTTAATGCCAGAGGGAGTGAAGAAAATTTAATTTAATATGAAGCTATGCAAATTGTAAAAGACTATTAATATCTACTTTCTGTAGACTAGGCTAAAGTCTGAGCTCCTTATTCTCTTTATATCTGGTTTTGCTCCATCAGATTCTTACTGAGGCTTTGGCTTTATGTGCTTATCATTACCTTGGTTTTAAAAAAATAAGTGTAGCACATGTAGATATACACTGACTTCTCTGGTAGCTGCGGAGCATGTAGATATTTGCAAGTCTCATGTTCTTCTCGTGTGTGCTGGACTTTTGCACACATAAGCACATGCGATAAGAAAGCTGGGGGACTCATGCAGCACAGGGGACCCCTGGAGTCGGGGCAGGCAGGGGACTGGCCACGTGTAGCCTCGGGGCTGCACTACAGCCCCGTGCCAGGGCCTGCAGCTTTCTTCACCTTCAACCAGATAAATAATCATCGTGCCATGCCGACTGTCTGTCTATCAAAACCGTGACTAAGAGATGCTTATTGGGAAAGCGAAGTCAAATTACCCATGCAGGCTTTGCTGCACAACTGCTGTTGCTTCTCCCTCCCTGACCTCCCTCCATGCACAGCATCTGACTGACAGGGCACACACGAAACACGGGTGCTGGTGCCTCCCCACCTGGCTCCCCCTCTGACCCATGTCCCTCCATCTCCTTCACATTCTCATTTTTGTCACTGGGCTGCCTGGAGAGCAGCCTTGCTGCAGCGGTGATGGGGCTGCAGGACACCGGTATGCACGATTATGCCGGGAGACTCCAGGGACGGTACCCTCTTGCTGCTGCAGCCTGAGGACAGCCCAGGGCACAGGCAGAGCGAACGCCTCAGGGAGACGCACGGGGAAACTGTTTTTCCCCCTGCAAAATTCCCAAGCAGCCCCTGATGCCCGATGGGATGCGAGAACCCTTCCTCCCCTCTGCGTCAGTGCTGCAGCACCGGGTGCACACACACACACACACGCACGCAGCGCACGTGGGCAGCACTAATGCCTTTCGGTCCTTTAATGCACACCTTGACACCATACGAACGTCAGAACTCCCTTTCACCACCTGTAGAGCTCCTGCAGGCTGTTTCTAAGCCTAACCCCATTTTGGCCTTGGTTTTGCTCCTTTGGCAACAACAGCAAGACATGCACTACGTAGCCAGAAAAATCTTCTATTAGAAACAATGCACGGATGTGTGTTTGCTTTTCAGAGGATAGTGCTGAGCCGGGGCATTTCATACCTCCTGGATGAGAAAATGATGGGTTTTTTTAATTTTTTACTGCACTACAGGACACAAGGACAACTTTCTCCCTCTCTTTCTCTGTTATGGACCCTGAGAGAAATGGAGTCAGAAGAGTGACCTTGGATTTATATCACTGATTGCAAAACCAACATTTGCCTGAAAGTGAGATTAAAAAACTTGCACTGCAAGGATAAATAGGGTGCTCCCATAAAATTCTCAACATACAATAAATTGGGTTGTAAAGCAGGTACTGATAAATCAGCAGGGCATCTTTTAAGTAACAGAAAGCTTACGAAATCACAGCACTCACACCTTTGCTTTTTCGTTATTCTGTATTTTTTTCTTACTGTAAATCATTGCCACTGAGTTTAATAGGGCTTACACAATATTCTAAGTATCTCTTAAGTAATATAATTGCTATTTGTGATCCCACTCATGCTTGAAAGCTTTTTTTACTGGAGGGGAAATCTTCCATTTTCCAAGTGACTCATTTGTAATGAAAACTGAACACCACCCACCTCCCCCACCCCCAGCCGTTTGCAATGAAAGTGAATAAAATGGGAAGGCATTTTTATACAACACGCAACGTATCAGCTGGGCATTTTGAGTAGCTGTTTTAAGATTCAGCACCATATTGCTCATGGAGACTGGGTCTGTCCATCACAGCCTGTCCAGAGTTGCTGGAGCAGGAATGTTTTTAGCCCTTGTTTTTCAGATAAACCTTGTATTGCACCTTTACATAACTGAAGTAGCTTTTTTGCTCAGGAAAAATGCCGTCTCAGATAAGTGAGGGGTGCAGCGGAGACTGGCACGGCGCAAGCTCTTGTGGGGCAAGCTCTCCATCCCCTGGCACGGAGGACTCCAGCCCAACACACAGCACCCGGGGCTGCACATTTTTCCACCCCTTTTAGCCCTTCTGCTGAGACTGCCTGTGCTAGTGCCACCTGAGAGATGAATTTGATAACTCATCTAAGACCACTGTAAGCAGCAGGCACCCAGGCTTTAACAAGTCCGGCGAAGCACCGCGGCGCTGGCACCGTCGTGCAACTAAACCAGCGTCCCTGGAGGCCTGACACGAGAGGGGACAGTCACTTCTGCCGCTTCTGTCCAGCATTTCACTAACCCCTAATACCCCTCCCCAACAGACTAAATGCCGTACAGTTTATTCTGGCGACTAGTGTTTACAAATCAGCCAAACCCGAGAGGTTTCCCCTCCGGTGGCAGAGTGAGAGAAGAGAAAGTGATACTGACTATTGGTCCACTTACATCATTGGGAATAGTAAGTTCATGGGAACTGGTTGGAGTAGTGGCATCCAGTCCTATTCAGGGGACAGAGGGAAAATGTTACGCCAGTTTGCAAGAAGGGCAAGACACAACAAAGGATATTTTAAAGAAGGAAACATACAATAAGAAGGAAAAAAAAAAAAAAAGGAGCAAAGAAAAATAGAGAACTTGTAGCGAAACAGAAAAGAAAGCAAGAAATGCAAAACTCAGAGGGCTGGACTAATTTTAAATGAGTCATTTTAATTAACCTTTAACCCACCAAAGCAACAAATGTCACATGAGATTCCACAGGGTCATAAAAAGCTTCTAGAAAATGAAGGGTTTCCCCTAAAAGTCTCAAGCTTGTTCTAAACACATCAATTGAGAAATTAATGGATGGCTGAAATTTGACCTGTCTACCAGGAGTTCTAGAATACGGAAAATGAAAGTGGAAGTCAAACGAACAATTAGCAGAACAAAATACATAGATATGAAAAAGAAAAAAAAAATCATAAATTAAGGATGAGGAAATTAACCTAGGAAAATTTGGAAGTTATATGTGGGATTAGTTGCTGAAGAAATGTTGGGAAGGGTAATTTTTGAAGGGCAATGTACAAAATACTCTAAGCTGCATACATTTGTTTGTAAATTGGGTGGACAAAAGGAAAATGCTCAGGAAAAATGGAATTACTGCTCTAACACAGAGTAACATTACAGAAACGTACATCTCACAAATATAACCAGGAAAAGATTAAGGAGCAGCATGTTAATGACAAGAATAAGGAAAATATAAAGCTAGGAAAGGCAATTTAGTATTTCTTGTAGATATTTTTTCAGATACATCATGAAGAAACAAAAGTATACTTTGTATGTCATGTCTCTTTCTCTCCTTTTCTCTTTTTTTTGGTGTTTATTATTATTATTATCTGTAAAGACATGCCAAAAATACTCATTTCCAACTAGAAAAGATGGAAAAGAAATACTCTTACAAAAAAGTGACTCACCTACCTTTTACTTATGTTTACATTCAATTAAGAGTTGCATATACTTATTTTACATTGAATATAAAACAATCAAGTTGCTCACAGAATTGGATGTATGTGATAAAATGTTATTTGCCATACAGGGCATGTACCAGTACATAGGTACTTCTGTTTTGTGAAGTTTTTAGATGCCAAGCATGTATGTAGTGAAGTACCGTAAAAATGATTTATTGCAGGGTTAACTGACTTCTCACTCTTGAATCAAGAATTCAGCTTCAGCTTTAGTAAGTATGGACCAAATTTGCAGTCCTTAATTTAACTAGATTTCCATTGCATTTTGTAGTTATATCTGCATATCTAGTAGGAAGAGAAGCACTTGTCCCAGCAGTGATGATTACAGAGGCTCTTAAGACATTTGGCTCTACAAGGAATTTGAGTTTCAGCGTGCCGTAATTTCTTTAATCGGTATTTCTGTACCACGATTACATACTGTTTTCCTATGTTTGCTTCTTTCTGAACCATGTTACCAAACTGGAAATTTGACAAGATGCACGCCCAAGTACTTCACTCGGGACCAACTGGTACATACTGTATGGTCCATAATAACTTTACAAGGACCGAACAAAAGAAACTCGGGGCTTTTAGCCAATGGCACAAATGAAGCGGTTTTGATTAAATAAATGTAACAAACAAAGCACGTTTTAGTAATGATGAAAGGAACTGTAACAGAGGCACGGGGAGGGGGGGGGGAGAACAGAGATTAAT